AAACTTTCCTCCTCCTCTGCATACACCTTCTGTTAATTTTAAGAGTTCCTATTTCCACATGGAGGATGCTGTCAGCAAGACAAAAGCATGTTTTGAAAAATAACTTTTTACTTGAGCTGGTTAAGGAATTTTTTATCAAAACATTTTTGTTGGAAAAACCCAGTTAGTCAAAACAGAAATTACTAATTGGAAAGTATAATTTTGAAAGATTCTAGAAAAATATATATTACACTTCAAAAATTTTTTTGACAACTTTTTTGATTAAAGCTGATTTAGAATTTGATTTTTTTTAAAGTAATATTGGAAAAATCATTTAAAATTTTACTATGAAAACAGTGTTCCTAATTTTGAGATTATTGCTATGAGTGCTTTTGAATTGCCTGACTCATGTTGGTTCTTTAGTCCTAGTTCAGGATGGCGAAACTCTTCAGCATTTAGTCTGTACTTTGTTTGTTCTCCCCAGCCTTGATTTTTTTTTCCTAAATTTCTTTTTTATAATAAGAGTACACACCAGGAAAAACAACTGGTATGCATAGGAAAATCCCATGACTGCAATTACTAGGAAATATTAGTATTATTGTAGCACCTAGTCATGCTTTTCATGACACAAACTGCCATGATGCAGTTCTTGCTCCAAAGTTCCTACAGTCTCAGAAAAGGCAACCAGCAAATATTTATACAAATATGCAGGGGTACCAGGGGAATAAAATAACAGTTATGTTTGCTCTGGGAGTCGGTGGTTTCGGCACACTAAAATCTAGCTCCTGTCCAAAGTATATTTTTTAACAAAGAAAGCCATTGTATTGAATGTTCATATTTTAAAGGCTTGGCCTTGCAAACAGAGTCAATGGAGTAATATACTACATACAAGTCTAAGAAGGGTGATATATGGAAGAAGTGGGAATGGGTCACTGAATGAACGTTGCTGTGGTTCTGTTTTTTCGAAATATATGGTGATCATCAGCTGTCACTAGAAGTTAATAGAAGTGATCCTTAAATGGATGAATGAAACAGAAAAACACCACCAAAGAACTGAAATGGTGTGGAAAAGATGTTAATGGCACCTACAAGCAATGCATATTACTCAAAACTAGGCAAGACAAAAAGTGGCCTGATGTCTAACAATAGGTTGTGATACCTTTATTTAAAGTTTTTGAAAGCTTCCTTCATCAAAATTGAATAAAAAAATAACTTTGAAATTTTATTGCAAATGTTTTAGGCATGGTACACTCATAATATCCAGGGAAGTTCTGTTTAATAGAGTACACAAGAAGTGAAACTGTAAGGGGAATCTAATCTGTCAGTCACACAAGGCTAGAGAGTTGTCTTGCAATTTTAGAAAGGACTAAAAGACTGGATTGATTGTTCACCTTCTGCAAAACTTGACCATAAACCAGGTGAATACCATTGCTTGGCAAATTCTAGTTGCCTTGCTGTATTTTTTTTTCTGGGTCACCCTATAGTTGCTACAGTTTTTATTCAGCTAACAATGTCCAACATGTGGATGTAATTGAGGATAAATGCCACAAGAAGGGAGATTTTGGGTAGAAAGGCATGCAAAGCTCACAGTATAAAATGAGCAAGAAAAGCACATCTAGCTGCATATGTTGTTATAATTAGAATAAGGCAGGCTGGTGGCTGGTGTACGGGAAGAGAAGAAATACAAGAAATGCAATGAATTACATCACTTGTTAGACAGACAAGCACCACCAGCGTGCACAGTGGCATTAGCATCTCCCTCCTTGCACATATTAGTTCAGATGAAAAACTTGCAGGAGCAGTAGGCTGTCCGACAATCCAAAGATGATTGCAGTATATCACCCTGTAAGGAACAAGAGTGTCTGCTGATTTTTCAGTTGGATAATGGTGCTGTTTTTATCTCAAAACAATGGTATTGGCACCAAAAGAAAAGCCGGGCATCA